TACACGAAATTCTACTATATTAATACTAAAAAAATGAAGATAATAAAAACTTTGAAATCTTACTCACACTACCATTACGTTGAGTTTAGTACCATAATATGTTTTTAAGATCCATTTGTTTTTCATTTTTGGAAGAGTGAAAATGAAAAATATAGTCGTTACGAGCCCCACACAAGAAATAGAAATTCAAATTTAGTGACTTGATGTGATGAATAACGATCATATTTTTATTTTAATGAAAAAAGAATGAAAATCAAACAGGGGCTTAATGTATGTTTTTTTTTTTCTAAAGAAAGCCAGAATATCAACTTTCAATTGATTAAAGAATCTCCCCTACAATATTAATGATGCCTAACTAATCAAACTATAATATAAATGAATCATAACTAATCAAACTATAATATTAATATAAATGAATCATAGTCCAAAGTACAATTAGTCAATACTTATGGCCAATAATTAACTTCGACTACTTTATATATTTCTTTTTGTGTCGGTACAAGAAACCAAAAATCAAAGGGTAAACAAAGGTTCTCATAGTCAAATTAATTCCTCAAAAGTAAACAAAGGTTCAACTATTTATTTGATTATCGTTCTACCTTTAGAATTTTGGATTTTCACCCTCTTCATTTTCATGTTATTTATTTTAAATTTTAGGGTAGGCGTTATATCGAGTTATGATAGAATCCGTTGAAGATTAATTTTAGTTCCGAATGTACATTTATTAAAATATCAATGTCATTTAGATTGCAAGTATTTCAACTTATCAGTCATTTAGACTACAGTTAATAGAATGCGTGGGAGGTGCTCCTACTTCATTAAGAGAATACGTTAATTTATTATAATATAATTTAGCCAATTTTTGAAATAAATTAATTTTAGCCACACATATTTTATTATTTTTTAATTAAAATTTACTAAAAATCTAATTTTTAACGACACAAAACAGGGGCTTAGTTTGTAAGAGATGTGTATTATTGATGAATAATTATCAGTTGTTACTTTTAATAATTACAAATATAATGTTTAATTTGACAGGGAAAATAGTTGGGATATTTTTCTCAAATGGGCATGACTACCACGTGGTATTTTTTTTCAATTATTTTAATTTCAGTGGTCCATATAGTACTTAGGGAAATACTTACAAGAAATATCTCCTTCAATTTTTACTCTGGAAGTTTTTAAAATTGAAAAAAAAATAGTTTTAGGAAGTCATTTGGTTTGAATAAAAAGGAAAAAAAAATACTTATAAATTAGTTGAGTTTACTCGTTATATGAATCGTACACAAAAGATGACATTTAAAGTCCCTGTTTGATAACCATTATTTTGGAGGAAAAAATGATGTTTTGAATAGTAAATTTTTGGAAAACATGTAATTAAAAGGTAGGAAATTTTTTTTTTTGAATTTACGTGTAAAATATTTTCTTGCGTAAATATTTGATTAAAAAGAGTAATGCTGTTTAACTCCACTATGATTTTAACCCTAGTTAGGCTACCGGCTACATAGCATTATTCGATTAAAAATGAATATGGAAAATAAAGAATTTTGTTTTAAAGGAAGACAAACAGGGGTTAAAATTGTTAACAAGTTGAAAGGAAATAAATTAATGATGCTACGTTCGACTCGCTAGGTTAAGCCTCTGTTTGATCCCCATTACGTTGAAAAATTAATGGGAGGAATATTATTTTTTTGAAAAATGAGTGGTTGAAAAAGAATGAAAAGTTTTCGATTTACATGTAATATTATTTTATAAAAAATTGTATAGTTGAAAATAGGAGAGAGAAAAATGAAATGTAATAGAATTTAATGTAATGGGCTCAAACAGTGGCTAAATATGTCTGGTTTTGTGTTTTAGTTTTTCAATTTTCAATTTTTAATTTTGTAAAATATCAAAAACTCGTTTGATTTAATATTTTTAAAAATGCAATTTTTAAAACAAGGTTAAGTCCATGTTTTGTGTTGATTAAATCAGATTTTTCACGTTGGTTCTCGAACCTCGATAATCTTCTTAAATCGGCATTCATAAGTTGAATTTCACTCATAAAACTTGCGATCTTTATTTGATTTCCTCTTTTAATTCTTTTTATTAATTCTGTCCAATTCAAATAGCTTTCAGCTGCTCCAATTCAACTATAATTAGGCCGAAAAAGCGTTTTTCTGTTCAAATGACTCTAAGTCCAGATTAATAATATTTATAATAAATTAAGTAAAATTTTGTTCAAATTTATAAGCATAAATAAACGTGTAAAACATATTTACAATGCAACGATCATCTATAATTTGTATGTGGAACGAGAATGTTGAACTTAGGACACTATACCTAAAAGAAAATTTTCATGCATCCAAGAAAAGTCATCTAATCAATCGGGGATAGTGAAGCCACTAGTCTGGTCCTTATTCAATGACGTGCCTTAACATCTTAAACAACATGGAAGATGTGTCTAATGAAGTTTATTTCCTAACTTTTCCCACGTCAATTTATTATATGTTTGCATTTATTTTATAGTGATTTTTTTTTTTAATAAGATTTGACAACTTTAAAATGTATATATTGTTTTGTAATAGAATAGGGTAAAAATATTTTATTTTATTGAATAATCAAATTATTAAATAAAATGTTGCACGACTATTTATAAAAATTCCAAACTAAACGTTTTTTTTTCACATTTTTGTTTTGAGAATTAGTTTTTCAGAATAACAAACAAAACATATTTTCTACAGTCTTAAAACAAATTATCAAGACAGAAAACTGAAAATGAATTCAAAACTAAAAATTGAAAATTGAGAAGTAGACCAAACGGGACCTAATATTCTAGGCTCTTGAAAAATCTTGGAAAGTTAAGAAACTTCATTATAAACTTTTATTTTAATCAACACACCACATAAGGAGGAGTATCTATTGGTATTAAAAATAAAATTACAGACAATCAATAAAAGTACAAAATATACAAATTAACAAGTCGAGAAGATACAAAGATATACTAAAAGAAACTACATCCTCCTCAGAGTGATCCACGGTGAACTAGTAAATACTTCTTGCTCTGCAAACTTCAATTGACTAATTTTAACATTACCACGTTAAAGTGTTCTGTCGAATCAAATATGCCAAATGGTTCAGGGTGTGTTTAAGCCCCTCTAATTTTGGAAAATGTATTATGAAATAGTGGATTGATGAAGAATATGTGGTTAATTTTTTTATTTATTTACATGTAATATTATTTTAATAAAGAATGTATGACTGAAAATGAGTACTGTAGAAAAAAATGCAGTAGAATGTAAATTGTGGAAATTACATAATTCCAGGTCTTTGAAGATCACAGTTCAAAAATCAAGAATCAAATTTCATTGTTCAAAAATCAGGTTTTGATATAATAATTAAATATTAAATATTCAAATTTAATTCCCCAACCCTAATATTTTATCAAATTTCATTGTTCAAAAATCAGGTTTTGATATAATAATTAAATATTAAATATTCAAATTTAATTCCCCAACCCTAATATTTTCATCACTCTTCATTCTCTTACTAATCTCTTCTCTCTCTCTCTCTAACTCCATGGCCTCCAATCGCCATTCATCACCGATCGCCACAGCAGTCAGTAAAACCTCCTCTCCAGTGCGGTCGCCTCCTTCTCTTGGACTCGCGAATGTGAGTGCCGTGGTAATTCTTCCATCGCCGTGAGTGTCACCGCGATTTTCAGCAGTGGCGATGTTGGATGCGGTGGGTTGGGGCTCTGTGGTGGCGATGCCTGCTGCTGATTCAGGGGCTACTGTTAGGGCGATCGGTGCGAATGACGGCAAATGGTGATTGGTGCCGGCACGGGGAGTAGATTTGGGGTTTTTGGGTGTTAATGTGTTATCTCTTTCTCTTTTTCGATCTACAGTTAATGATTTGCCATAGTGGTGGCTGCTTGTTGTTGGCTTTTGGGTGATGGTGGTTGGCGATGGTAAGGTAGTGGTGATGGTCCTGGAAGTGGCGACGGTGGTTGTGGATGGATTGGTGGGGGATATGGGTGGTGTTGGTTTGACTGTTTGGTGGTGGCGGTGATTTTGTGATTGTGGAGGTGGTGGTGGCTGTTATGGTGATTTCTAGAGGCGGTGGAGGTGGATCTGTAGTGGTGGTTGTGGTACGATTTTGGGGTAGTGGTGATTCTGATTGTTGTGTTTTTTTGGTTGGAGTGGTGGTGGTGGTCTTGTTTTGGTTGTGTCGAGGGAATTGGGTGATTCTTGTTGGTAGTGGAACTGATGGTAGTGGTAGATTGTTAGTGTCGACGGCGAGATGGTGGCCGACGACAGGGATGGTGTGAGTGTGGTGGAAAGTGGTGGTGGTGGCATAAAATATGACCTAATATTTGATCTGTGACCAATTCAAACTTAAAATTTGAAAATTGTGACCAAAATAATTTGTGACCGATAAACTGTGACATATGTGACTTGTAATTTGAATGATCTGTGACCTCGAAATAATATGTGACTTACAAAATTTTTGATTTGTGACTACGAAATAATCATTTGATCAATTAGTTTGTCGATATGTGACCAATAAATAAATCTGTGACCTAAATTATGAATATGTGACTATTAATCTGTAATTGTGATTTTATTATCTATATTTAATAAAAAATTTTAATTAATTAAATATGTACCTGATTTTTGAATTTTAAAAGTATTTATTTGATTTTTGAATAGAGGTAAACTTAAAGCCTGAAATATGAACTCTTCCCATGTAAAATAATCAATTACAAAACATGAGCTCAATAAGAGACCTGTATCATTATTAATTGGTCCTACCCAAATACCTACCTCATTCTGTGGAGGCCCATCAAAACTATTCCCCAATTTCTTAGGCCCATCTAGCATAGAGATTTTCAGAGAAATCTTGAATAAACCTTTTTGTATCATGGTTCACACCAAACAGACAAGCTCAGTAACTTCCTTTAAAGCAAAGAACTATGAAATGTAGAACCACTATCTATTTACCAACATAAATAGCTGCACTAAGTTGAAACTTCACTTGTACATTTATAGTTCCATCCCACCGGAACCAGTATCCTGAAACCGGGCGAATATAAAATACAAAATGCAAAAGTCATGGTTGGCCAAAGGTCAAAAACTAGGATATGAACATCCTGATTAACTAAAACTTAAAAATCTAATTCAAAGGCACCATACTTGTGTAGATTGCACTGTATTTTGCTGTATATACAAAGCATGTAAAGAAGAAAAGTTACAAAAAGGAAGATGGCGTGTGAAAGAAAAAATAAAATAAAATACAGAAGAAGGAAATTGAAATTGACTCATCTCAGCACATTGCCCTGGCCCCATCACAATCAAAAATCATAATCTATATCTGATGCATTTTGAGAGGTCGATTTTTTTATCAGGTGCCCTTGCTCGTCGTACAGATCGAGGTTCTCACAGGGAGCTGGGAATATGGTCCCTATAACACGACCTTCAACAAAAGCACACTGGAATATGTGCTTCTTTTTATATGTAATTCCTACTGACATATCCCAGAAAGTGACATTCCTGACAGGAATTTCTTCACTACCTTGAATACGGACTGGAACACGAACTCCCTCTCCGTGTATTGAACTGTAGCTTATGTCCTCCAGTATTGGAAACGCCTTGGGGTCAAACGCTGCATCTGGATGTTCGTTGTAATCTGTCTTGATGACGATCCCCACGCGAACATTATCAAATGTCAGATTCCTATAAATTATATTTCGAACATATCCTCCTCTTCCAGGGGCTGTCTTGATCCGAACAGCACGTCTTGAGCTCCATATGAGGACATTTTCCACAGTGACATTTGACACCCCACCAGACATCTCACTGCCTATTGATACGCCTGCACTGTTATTCGGGAGGGTATAATTCAATCACTATCTAAACATACGCATTCTAACCATAGTCACATCAAACGGAATGAAATCCATGACAAATTTCAATAGAGGCAAACAACAAAATGTTAAAACTAGACATTCATCTAAAAATCCAGAATACATAGATCTATAAGCTGATAAGAAATTGAAACTGGCTGCAAAGCGACTACAGATGCAGCTTAGAACCAGAATAGAGAATGATGCAATAAATTGTACACGGAATCTCTCACCTGACCATGGAGCGAATAACAAGGTTTCGGATCAATATATTCACTGAAGGCTGTCGATAAGCTATCCCATATTGATCCCAGCCACTCTTTATTGCTATACCATCATCTCCGACACTTATGTAACAGTCCTCAATTACCATATCTTCGCACGAATCTGTTCAATGAAATGAGATGATACAAAAATAAAATACATAGGTATAAAGTGAAGAAGCTACACAAAATAAAAATGTCCGCCACAATATCAACAGTAGAAGTATGGTACGTGCTGTTAATGGCATATTTAGCATTGGGATAAAAAATTCAAGTTCAAAACAACAGGTAAGGCTCGTCCATCCAATAACCAGATAGAAGACAAAGCAGAAGAACAAACTTACCAGGATCTATGCCATCAGTATTTGGAGCTTCAAAGATGGGTGCCAAAATTGTAAGATTTCTAATCGTCACATTCTTGCAGTCATAGGGATGTAGAGTCCAAAAGGGAGAATCACGTAATGTTATGTTAGATATCAGAATATCCCTAGACCACATAATCTGCACAAGCGGTCCTCTGGTGTGGTTAAGAAGCTTCTGTCGATACTTCGTCCACCACGTTTGACCCTGGCCGTTAATGGTGCCGTTATGCCCTGTTTCAGGAATAGTATACATGTATTCAGATGTATAGCATATAATTATAATTACACAAGCCTTTGGCACCATCACAATCTTGACTATAAGACTTCAAAACTCACGGAAGGTAGAAAAAGGTTAATGCATCACCAGATATCGATTCAGATTTATGGGTTTCTAAATGCGAATAGATCAGGCATGATCACCCATACACATGACCAAAAAACAATTTTGAATTGAGACTCTCTGAGCTTCCTTTGCTCACTAAACTAGGGTATCTTCGAAGGAAACAAACAAAGTCAGTCAGGGAGACGGAACGAGGTAATCGTGTTCCATGTCGAACAGACATTGACAGGGCAAGACGACACAGCCTCAGGACATGGGAAAACTTCTTTATCAAAGTTTTAGTAAATGCATGCATTTGCGTGTGTAACTTTAAGCTTAAAAAGCATTCACCAAGTAAAATGTAAGCAAATACATAGATGACTAAATCAGCGCCCAAGTGTGTCCGGCAAAAATAAACTACCAAGTCAAATGATACTTATTTCACATTAAATGTTTTTTATCTCAACAAGACATTGTAGAATTATATATTTCTTATTATCCCTTAAAATGCTTATAACATTCCCTACCCAAAAGAAATATCATTAATACCAATTTACAAATTAAAGATATCTGAGAACCAAGAGCATCGTGGAATTATTATTCTTTAGTTTATTAGCTTTTAAGGTTTTCTTCTCCTTTTAATGCAGAACATGTTTAGGTTGCAAGTTGCATTGACATGTAGCTGTATCTATTTCTAATATGGGAGGAGTATTTTCATTTTAGACGGAGAAGTCACTTTCCCACTACTAAGCTTTTTTTTTTTTAACAACCAAATCTAATCAGTGGAGTACAAATTACCTGAATTTAGTATTTGATTGGACTAAAATGAAGGAAATTTAAGAGTATACTCTTTCTACACTTCCCTAATAACAAGCAATAATGCTCTTCCACAATTAAAGAGTCTACATAGAGCTGGTATAATAATGCCAAGGTCAACGGTTAAAATCATAAATCCATACAAGGAACATCCTCATTACCCGAACCACTCACATTGATCCCCTACCAAAATAATATAGTAAATGAATAAGCTTCGCTCGAAAAAGAAACAATAAACTCCAATTAAAATGCTCACCTGTAATTACAACATCTTTGAGATGTTGACCATGAATTAAACTTCCATATCTTGGTCCACGATGCTCTCTTCCATACCCATACGAAGGCAATGGAGGCATCAGAGGCCAATACTTCTCATCCTACAGAACATTGCAGATGGAAAAAAGAAACAGAAACTAATATTGTCAATTACAAGAATCATGAAACTTTGATACCTCCAGGGCTTATACAACTTTCAGGTAGCGTGAAAATCATAAACGACATTCAAGAAATATTATGTAAAACATGTCAAATAAAGGACAGCAATGGTTTATCTTTAAAAAATGAGAGAACGTTATGTGCTAGGACCGTGTGTTTTCTCGGGTCGGAGGCGAAAATTGGAAAGTTTATCATTCAGTGGTGGGCTGTTCATAGAAAAGAAGGATTTGGGTAACCTTAATTAATTACGTGAGTTTGCCTATAATAAGTATCCCCCAGGGACCTTCCTCGACAAGACTTCAAAATGTGCGGATTTGCTAATCTATGAGTGACCACAGTTTGGCATCCTTAGTGAAGTACATTGTGACTATGATAACCTTGTGCTCCTCTAAATCGGTTCGGACCACCCGACAGTCTTGTTCCATGTCAAAGAGAAAGTTCTCATCTACCTCTTTGGCATCTATATTACCCCCATAGATAGGCCCAGGGTTCTGGCAATTTCACCTTGCTTACTCGAAAGTGTCAGGACTAATTCACGCCTAATTCCAATTGAAAGTGTGACAGTTTATGGAAACTTGGGAATTTTGTCCTAAGACAGATTGCTTCTCTCAAAACGAAGCCTGACCTAAACCCTTAGGACAAATTAGTTTTATGCACAAAACTTAACACTCAAGCTCCCTTATGTCATTCTTAAGATGTATTGACTGTGATCTAACATTATTTGCTGTTATGCAACTACTAATCAGTACACTTACAATACTAAGTGTGATTATAGGAAGTTTACTATTAGTTATGTCATGAGGATACCGTCCGGAGAAGTTCCCTTTACAAGTAGAAACTGCACATTCTCCAAATATTTACTATTTAAAAACTCATTCTCTTCACACAAAAAAATAAAAAAAAAATAAATAAATAGTGGCTTTCAAAAAGAGGCTAAAAGTCTTGGTCTTTAAAAACTATTTACTCATACCATATTCAATTCATCCATACTTCCTAAAGCGTAGAAATTACTAAAAGCTTGGGCGTGGCCATGAACAATGGGCATATAGATTGAAATAACAATTGATATTCTATGTTCAGCTTTACTACTGAGTAAAAACTAAACAAGACTTACAGGGCTTTCTCACTATATAACTGTTATGATATGTAAGGTAAGTGTTTGAGAGAATTTGATGCCATACAGTACGTTGATCAGCAGAATATAGAGAATGAGGAAAGAAAGAGAGAAGAGAGCAACAGAGAAGAAAAATTCTTCTTCTTCTCTATGTTATGTTGTTCTAAGTATTGTGCTACATCAGAATTTTATTAAGTTATTTCTTTAGTTAGAAAATCAAAAGCAATATGGGGGAAACTTTGCATTAGACATCAATCTTGAAGGAGGATGTTGTAATGACTAACAAGAGCTGGACTGTGTATTCTACGTATTGGAAGGTATGCCTGTTCCACTATGTCATGATTATAGCTGTCCAAGATCAATCACCAACTAGTTTCATGAATACATACATATTGCATGTCAAATCCTTCCTACTCTCCCTATTTAAATGCAAACACGTAAAAGTTAATTATCATTTTTCAATAAATAAAAGTCAAACACAAGGTATCATTTTATAAACAAATCTATATATTTAGATTGACATTTTTACACTCTTCTCTTTTCTAAGAAATGCTCTTAATTAGAACATGTGATGCAAAGAATGTCTCACTAAGAAAATTATAAGAAGAAAGCATGTAAAACTCACATTTATGTACAAGTGGTTCTGCCTGTAATTATTTATGAAGTAACTTATTATGCTTATAATTTTCTTCAAGATAAATCTTGGTTGCACCACTCTAACCATACAATCGTTTCCCTTATCTTTTCAATCCATAGCAAATAAAGTTCTAAATTTCGACTCAATTTACAGTAATTTGAAGATTTTGCACTATATGCAAACCGTGCATACAAATAAAATAAATTTTGTGCAGACCTAAAGAGCACTTATTCATAAGAGTGATGCAATCTAGTCAACCTTTTTTTTTAAGAAAATGGAAGCATAAAAAAACACGAACGACAAAGTCTTTGATGATTTCTAAGGTTCTAGTTGCTTTGAATCCTCCGGTAAATCTAGTAATGAACATAAAGGGGTGCCAAAAAAAAAAAAAAAAAAAAAACTGGGCAAAAAAAAACCAGAGAAGATAGAAGAAGAAGAATTCTGAGTTTATTGAGCAATTACAGATTACATCTTCGAGTATTTATAGACCAACTAATTAACATAAAAAGTGGATTAACTGCTTAACAATTTCTTAACTACTCATAACCGTGTCTTAGCTGGTCCTAGTTGTATCTAACTAATCTTAGCATAACTGTTTTAACTACCTTCTATCAGTTGTAATTGAATCTGTTTCATAAGAGTGTTTGCAATTTTGATTATTTAGTTTGGAGATAAAAACTCACGATTAAAATTAATAAATTTATCCGATTTCCATACAGAAAAGATAAAGCCATTAAAACAAACAAACACCAAGAATTACTCACATTGATGCCGAGAATAACAGCACCCTCATCAAGGAACAGAGTCATATGGCTGGTTAGATTGAAAGGTGCAGTAAGCCAATACCCAGGTGGCACATTAAGCTGCCCACCACCCTTCTTCCCGAGCCTCGAGATGGCCCTCACCGCCCGCTCAAACGCCGCCGTATTGACAGTGACCCCATCGCCCAGAGCCCCAAAGTCCGACAAGTTAAACGACACAGGGCGAAGCTTGGGTAGCGATCGGGTCGGAAGTGTCCTCCTGAAGAGTAAGAGTCCGCCGGTTGCAGCATCCCGCTGCCAGTAAAACAAAGTGAAGAAGAACGCCAACCAAAGGGCGATCAGGAAGGTCTTATGGGTAGATAAAAAATTCGTAATTGTGGAGGTCCAACGGCGATGATGATAATTATGAATAAATGGGGCCCAACATCTCCGCCACCAGGATGATGAACTCGGTGTGGGTGTTAAGGTTTCCACCATATTTTATTATTCTTTTCACAGTCAAGCTTTTTTCCTATTGAATTTGGGGTTTGGACTGGAGTATCAATAGCGTTAACACGATATGAGAAAGCAAACAGAGTTTTCGATAAATCTGCGAGTTGCAAAACAGTTAGGTATTATTAGAGAAAGGAAGGTGAAGCGTTGCAATCCGAATCAGTGAGAATTTGGCGAGATGACGATCCCAGATGAAGTGCATTGGAAGGGAAGTGAGATTTGAAGTTCGAAGAGAGAGAGAGAGAATTGTGAACTTGAGAATATCTTTGTCGAACTAGTGACCGGTGCTACCATGAAAATTTTTCGTGCTACCCATCTAAGTTCTTTACCATGTGCTGCTTTGTTGTAGATTGAAGAACATAAATGTTGCATCCATTGGATTTCACTAAAAATCAAATTTTTAATAGAATTTTAATAAAAATTAGTAAGTATATTGTTAAAATATAATACGAAAAAAGTTATTAGTTACCTAAAACTTAAAATTGAAAACGGCCTTAAAGGAAAAGAATTTAAAAAATTGGGGTAAAATTGGGACTTAATTAATTCTGTAAATATTTAGTCATGTTTAAAGGTTGATTTTTTGAGAATACATTTTGAATTTTTTTTTAAATGTGCAGTAAAAACATTTGGCAAAATTATAAGTACATGTATAAAATTATTAAATCAAGAGAATTTTAATTAAAAATGAATTTGTGAAATAAATAAGTTTAAAAAAATTTCTATCAAACGTGGACTTAGCCCCCGTTTGAGCCTCATTACCTGAAAATGAAAATGAGGGGAATAATATTTTTTAGAAAAATGAGTGATTAAAAAAGAATGAAAAGTTTTCGATTTACGTATAATATTATTTTATGGAAGATAGTGTGGTTGAAAATATGAGAGAGAAAAATGGAATGTAATGTAATTTAATTTAATGGGGATCAAACGGGGGCTTAATTTGATCTAATGTAGTGACAGTGACAGTGACAGTGACATAGTTTATTTAAGTTAAAATTGTTGTATTATGTTATCTAATAATGTTGTTCATTGAAAGTAAAATTGTTGTATCTTATTTGGTTAAGGTTGAGACGCTTTTAATTTGTATATATAAAATATCTTGTTAAGTGATTATAATTTATAATTTATATTTGGTTAAGGTTGAGACTCATTTTTTTAAATGTTTAACCTCACACCTAACCGTGGTTATCTAAATCCAACTAAACTTTGACCTAAAAATAGACTACTTGATTACAAGGCACTTTAACAAAAGAAGAATGTCAATGACTCAATATTAGTTTTTATTTTCAATTAATATTTTAATTAGGTAATTTCAATACATTCTATGAAATATTATTTATGTTGATAGTAAGTTGAAAGATATGTAGCATTGATGTTTCATTAATGAATAGCCACCCATTCTTAAAATAAAAACAAACTCACCCCTAAATAAGTGAACTCTCATTGACTCCTATAAATTTGTATAAATTTAGCACTAATGATTTGAAAATTTGGTTTCCTAATCCCCTTTTCTTTTTTTGTTTTTTTCCATTTTAACCCTTGATTTGGATGTTCAAATGACGAAAATGTCTTGGACATAAACTCGGGAACCCACCCAATACCAAGCACCTATCCTCACTTTTTCTTCTTCCCCAATCTATAAGAAACTAAAATGCATATCTCTAGTTATGCTATTCAAGATTTAATTGAAAATCAGTAGTAAAAATGAGGCTTTAAAGCATCAAATGTCTCCCAGCCAATACCCACTTGAAACCCTTCAACTTGATGAAAATAAACACAGGACTTTCAATTTTAGAGAGAAAATTCTGCACGAGTTTGGTTAGGGACCCTTTTGGCATATATAGACAACCACAAAAAAACTTCCATCCATCATAGAAGTGGATGATTTTTTCTAACAATCCCGATGATAATTTGAAATGGGGCAGCCAAGTGTGAGTACTAACAGCTTTAGCATTCAGTATATTGAACATTTAAAACACATTCTTAATGTACCCATTCTGACTTAAATACAATCTGCCAGTCTTTTTTATTCCTAAAATTTTTTCTACTAAGAATTTTCTTTGCTGCACCAAAATATTTCATCACAAACTCCTTACTAAGTTGAGATTTCACCTTTCTGTTTCTGCTTTATCCTTGGTTGTTATGAGCATATCATCAATATCTAATAACAAATAGGAAAAATTGTAGAAGCGATCCTTAACCTTTTCATTTTTTGCAGACTTTACCCTAACCTTCATTTTGTGCCAACAGAAAAATTGTCCAAAACACCATCCTTTGATCGAGAAAAGGAATCAACATCTAATAAAATCGTCCAAAACACCATCCAAAAACACTGTCCAAAAAGGTATCAACATTCAATAAAACCGTCACGGTAGCAGATAGTTCAAGAAATTTTCCCAGTTAACTGACTATGTTTTGGACGATTTTCATCTAGATGAATCTCAGATGTATATTTATAAAAGGTTGGTGACTTTCATTGGCACAAATAAAGATTAGGGTGAAGTCTGCAAAAAACGAAAAGGTTAGATACTACTGCTATAATTTTCCCTAACAAATATGTAATCAATTTACCATTTTCCTTTCTAAAGCACACACCACTATCTAATTACTTCTAATGAAGCTATGAATAGTCATGAATGAATTGAACCTTTTGTATCACTGCTTCGATGACTAATTTAGTCCATATAAGGACTTCCTCAACAAGCACACATAGTTCTCCTTTCCAGAACTAAGAAGTCCTCTGATTGTTGCATGTAAACGTTCTCCTAAAGTTCTCTATGCAAAAATTTTGTATTGACATCTATCTGCTCAAGTTCCAAATTATTCTTATTATTCTTTGCCACTATCCTAAGTAAAGTCCGAATTGAACTATGCTTTACAACTGGTGAGAACACGTATGTAAAGTTAACACCTGGAATTTTACCGTAGCTCTTTGCTACCAATCTGGCCTTGTACCTATTATCTTCAATTTTTTATGTCCCTTGTTTTCTTTTGAATACCCACTTGCATCGAACAACCTTTTTATCCTAGGTAATTTTACCAAGACTAAGACTATTTTTATTTAATGACTCCCATTTCCTCCTACATATCAACTAACCATCTACTAGAATAACTGCAACTGACTGCTTCTGAATACGTAGCAGGCTCCTTAGTGGAATCAATATCGTCAACCACACTAAATGCATAAACTATCAAATATGCTTCTCCATACTTTTGTGGAGGTCTAATCTGTATCTGATGTATATCCTTAACAATTGAATAGTGTGTTGTTGCTGGTCATGTAGGCAAAGTATTTACTATCTGTCAATTCTGGACTAAACTGATATGAAACAGAATGTTTTGAAACCTATGATTGTTCTCCTGGACCAAATTCCAACTCCACCTGAGTTGAATAATTCTATTTCTCAGTTTTATCAGAATCCACGGCAGGTGAAACACGAATCATAACAAGTTCATCAAATATTGCATCTATACTAACCACCACTTTTCTTGTTTTAGGGCACCACAATTTATACCCATTTACACTTGATTTTTTAGATACTCTTTGTATACCTAGGCTCCAACTTCTCATTATCCACATGAACATAACCAGGATACCTAAATATTTTAAATCAAAATAACAAGAAGGTTTACCAGACTATACCTCTTGTGGTGTTTTTTTTTTGTTTTTGTTTTTTTTAATGGCAGTTGAGGTTGAGCGATTAATAAGAAAATAAGCTGTAGTAGTAGCTTCAGCCCAAAAAGTCTTAGGTAATCCGGAATTTGAAATCATATAACGAACTTCTTCCATCATAGTTCTATTCATTCGTTCTACCACACCATTTTGTTGAGGAGTTCGGGAACTGTCAAGTATTTCAAGATGCATTCAGCCCTTCAGAAGCTATTGAATTCATCAAAACAAAACTCCAACCTATTATTTGTGCGAAACGTCTTATCTGCTTTCCAGTCCACTTTCGTATAAATGTTTTTAACTCCTTAAGGGTTCCAAATACATCACTCTTCCGTTTCAAAAAGAATATCCAAACTTTGTTGAAAAGATCATCCATCACTATCAACAAGTAATAAGCACCTCATTTTGAAGGCACCCTGGTCGGTCCCCAAAGCTCTGAATAAATATATTCAAGTGTTCCCTTCTTATTGTGTTTGCCTTTAGTAAATTTGACTGTTTTCTATTTTCAAAGACATAATGTTCACAAACTTTGTCTTACTGCTCTTCTGTCTTTCAAGAAGCCCCCTCCTACTCAACCCTATCATACCTGTCTCACTCATATGCCCAAGTTGCATATGTCAAAGTTTTGTAACTTCCACATTAGTTAAAGAAAAAGTAAAAACAACTGCATCTCCTGTAACTATAGAACCCTACAAAATGTATAATTATGTAGAGTTTTTTTTTGTCCCTTGATGACAATAAAAGCACCTCGACTCACTTTCAAAATTCTACCTTCACCAGTGTATTTATGATGTTTTAAGTCAAGTGTACTCAAATATATGAGATTTCATTTCAGTTCTGGAATGTGCCTGACGTCTGTAAGTGTCCTAATAGCGCCATCGAACATTCTGATTCTGACTAAACCAACTTCGACAATTTTGCAAGGCGCGTTGTTTTTCTTAATCATTGTACCTCTCGAAACTTTCATGTATTGTAAATCAGTCCCTGTTAGGACATATATGAAAACTACATGCTGAGTCAAAAACCTATTCCTCACAAGGATTAGAACCCAAGTTAGAAATCATGAGAACTCTCATTCAATTTGCTCGTCTTCTACAACATTAGTTTTCGCTGTGTTAACAGGTTGCTTTCCTTTTTCAGTAGCACCAGTCGCTTTATTTTTATTTTTCAATGATATACTTTCTCTGCATGTCTAGATTTCGATCTATCTCTCGTATTCCTACCAAGATTCTTATCCTGATTTTTTCTCACGAACAACCAGGCATTCAGGTTGACTCCCAGATCCTCCAGCAAGATGCCTCATTTCCTTCTTAGATAGTAAAGCATCATAAACTTTTTCATAGTAAGAGTATCCCGACTATAGAGAATAATATTTCTAAAAGTCACATATGATAATGACAGCGAGCACAACAACATCAACGCCAATTCTTTCTCATTATACTTAAACTCCAATGTCTCCAAATCGACTATGATTTCTTTAACACATAGTCAAGTGATCATCCAATGATGTAACTTTGGACATTCGGTGAGAATAAAAGCATTTTTTCAAGTATGACTTGTTGGTCAAGCTCTTAGTTGTATAAAGTTGCTCCAACTTCAAACACAACATAATGCCATTTTTCTTCTTTAGAATATCACGAAGAATTTGATTTGATTGATTTAGATGAATTTGGGATTGTGATTTTCGATCCCTATGCTGCTTTTCATTCCACATCCAGGTTGAAGGCATCTTATCAAAGTCAAATAAGGCTTCCTCCAAATGCATTTGCACAAGAGCTGCTCGTATCTTAAATTGCCATAAAATAAATCTAGTGTTTCGTTCCAATAATGGAATATCGTATTTCATCATTGTCGTGCGGAATATTCAAACTTGTTCTGATACCACTTGATACAAGTTGATTGCAAGATAATGATAATAATGAAATAAACAAGAACAAAAATAAGAATACCAATATTCATGTGGAAATCTAAGATGGGAAAAAACCACAAGTGGAAGAGGAGAAATCTACTATAATAAATAATAATTGCATCTAATGTTGTATGAATGTTATGGAAACTATATAAGCCATGACTTATATATATAAAACTCTAAAAATCAAGTTATAGATAAATAGGAGTTCAAACATGCGTCAAAATGCGAAAGGGGTTTGGACTGGATAACACTATCACTCGAGCGACGGGTGAGGGATAGGTAGGTGACAGCAGGAGGATGACTGGCGAGTGAAAAATCTCTGTAGAAAATATGCAGGTCCCGCTCAAGCGGCTAACTAGCGGCAGGCAAGCGAAAATGTCATGATCCATAATTTTGATCCCTTCAAGACTACTTCAGCTAAAACTCTAATGCCCATTTAGTATTTGGATCAAACTGTAACAAATCATGGCCGCTACAACACTTCTTCAGTATTTGTCTCGATTTTTTATCCTTTTCGAATGTTCTTTTCCCCAATCAAATTAAAGATTAAATAAATCTTTTTAAGAACATTTTGAAAAGAGAACTATTTTCATTCTCTCTTATTACTTTGGTTGTCCGATGGAAGTTTATCGCATAAACACAAAGCCTTGAAGTTGAACTTTTCATTGTTCTTTTAGGCTTTCACTTTATAGTAGTCAGTTTGTAGAGAGGACAAGATTTCAAGAAAGACAAAGCTGCAGGTTAAGTTAAAAACGGGAAATTTGTTGAATCAAGAATTTCATATGAGGTTAATCATGTTATGAAAAATACAAAAGAATTATAAATACCATTGAAATTATAAAATAATAAAATGAAACGTTACAATAAATAGAGTAACAATAAAAGAGAGAAAATCTAGTTGTTAATGTAGTAGCCGTATTAGAAGGAATCGTTGTTTGTATTGCACACAATTTTCTTAACATAGATTCGCCCCACATTGTGGTTCAAGAAGACTAATGACGTCTATCTCTCTAGACACAGCGGTTGAAAGAAGCTAATTAACACTTCTTCACTGCTCACTCTTTTATGACCGAGCAAGAACAAAAACTTATCAAAGTTATTAAGAACAAGAATCTTGAAACAAAAAGAAAAAAAGGAAAAGAAAAAAAAGATAGAAATAAGAGAGAGAGAAGAGCTGTTAAATTTTTGTATGTGAAAGAAAGGGAGAGAACACCTTCTTATATAGTGCTAGGATGAGGAGGGTTTAAATTTTCTATTGATTTCGCACTAGTAAAAAATCTTCCAATACCTATTAGGGCTTTGTAACCACCAATTCAATTGAATATTAAATTGAAAATTTTAAATCAAAATTATTGTTACATCTCATAATTTATTTCAATTTAATGGAAAATTAACTAGAGAATTTGAAATCAAAATTGTTGTTACATCAAAATTTATTTATTTTTTCCCAACAAATCAATGTTATAAATACATGCCCAAATTAAAACTGAGCTAAAATTGGATTTGAACATCATTGGATATCGTTAATAAGTATAATAGTTTTTCCAATAACATTGTAAAACTAGAAAAAGAAAGGGAATCATAGCCGATAGTTAAAATTTATTGAGACAAGTTAAGGTCGTGTTTTTATATGACACTAGTTGACCTTGTGAACAAATGTATTTCATTTTTATCCAAAATTAATCAAATAAGACAAAATATTTCCTCAAAATCAGAATGGAGTAGCTCGTGGTAATGGTGCTATAATCAACTCAAACTCGCAACAAGAAAACTGAAGGTAATACAAGTATGGCAAATAATCCTTCATTCAGCCTATCAATATTGTCTAATATCCACTATGAAAAGATACATTGCAAATAAAGACTATTACTTCACTATCCTTATATGTTTGCAACTTCATTATACTCAAACCTTTTTTATTATGGAGACAAGTTTAGGTTGTGTTTTTATGTGACACTGGTCGACTTTGGGAACAAATATATTTTATGTTTTTTCACGGAACTAATCAAATAAGACAACATGTTTCCTTGAAAACCCGAATGTAGTAGCTCATGGTGATGGTGCTATAGTCAACTCAAACTCGCAACCCAAAAACTAAAGCTTATACAAGTAAGACAAATAGCCTTTCAATACTATCTAATACTAATCAATTCAATAATCAAATATGCCATAAATATACATATTCTAGAACATCCAAATATCACTATGGAAAGATACATTGCAATTAAAGACGTTTAAATGTAAGGTGTATATATATAGATTGAAATTAGGCATACCTTGAATGTCTCTCCTTTGATAATGTCAATGGAAGGTTCACCTCTCTTTCTGTTTGGACCCCAAAATCTTAGAGATTTTCTTTGGAATGGCCTGGCCTATCACCAATCTTTGTTCAACTCACACCATCCCCACACCCTCCAACAATCATGACTAACGATTCCAACCCCAAAACCAAACAAACCACCTCCCAAAAAAAGGATTCAGAAATTCCAACCTCTCCGAACAGCGGCATATTTGTCCTGCCGGGAGGTGTCAGCAATATTCAGACAGTCAAACATGGCCGCTGCTCGTTTTCTTCCTTCCTGTTTTCTCATTTTTATCCTCATTTTTTGTCTTTATACCCCATGTTTGTCCAATGACGGCGTGTCTCTTTATGAATTCAAAGAGGCGTTAAATGAATCTGCATCTCTGGATTCAACCTGGATAAAAGGGACTGATCCATGTCATAACGAAACGAAATGGAAAGGTGTAGAATGTAATGCGGAAAATGTCATAAACTTGTATCTTATGAACAATGGTCTAGCGGGAGATATTGCGATTGATTCTTTGGCAAATCTTAAGGGACTTAGAGTTATCAGTTTGGAAAACAATAGCTTTTCAGGTCCACTGCCTGAATTCAGTCGCCTTACTAAATTGAAGTCCCTCTATCTTTCAGACAATGAATTTTCCGGGGAAATACCTTCAGATTTCTTTTCAAAAATGGGGTCTCTGAAGAAGCTTGAGCTTGCAAGAAACAAGTTTTCAGGGAGGATTCCTGATTCTTTGGGAGAATTGGAGAATTTGATGGTTCTCTTTCTGGAACAAAACGAATTCTCAGGGCCTATTCCTTCATTAGCACAAAAATCTTTGGTGAAAATCGACCTGTCTAACAATAAGCTGCAAGGAGAAATCCCTCCAGCCATGTCAAGATTTGGTACCAAGCCTTTCGAGGGAAATCCTGACCTTTGTGGCACGGTTCTGTCCAAAGAATGCAAGGCTGATGAAGAGAGTCCAAATGAAGCACCCGCAGCTGACAAGATTAATGAAACCAAGGAGTCAGAGTCAGGGTCAGGGTCAGGCGTAAAGTGGGTGGTTCTATCGGCAGTAGTTGCCCTCCTGGTGGTGACAATAGCATTTAAGAGTAATAGAAAGGAAGATGATTTCCAGATGCTTGGTAAAAATAATTTGGACGAGGCAGTGCGAGTACACATACCTAGTAGTATGAAGAAGAGGAACTTGAGTAGCAGGAAAGGAATCAACTCAATGAATTCGTCAAGAAAAGGCACGCAAAAAGGTGGAAAAGTGGGTGATCTCATTGTAATTAATGAAGAAAAAGGTATATTTGGGCTGCCTGATTTGATGAAGGCTGCAGCTGAGGTTCTTGGAAGTGGCGGTTTGGGATCAGCTTACAAAGCCGTGATGGCTAATGGGGTTTCTGTTGTGGTGAAGAGATTGAGAGATGTGAATAAAGTAAGCAGGGAAACATTTGACTCGGAGGTTAGAAAGCTCGGGACAATGAGACACAGGAATATTTTAACACCATTGGCGTACCACTATCGGAAGGAAGAGAAGCTGTTGGTGTCTGAGTTTGTTGCCAAAGGCAGCTTATTGTATATATTACACGGTAAGAATTTTTATAACGGACATCATTTTGGAATATCATCTTAATTTGTGAAATCTCCACCATTCTTTCTTTTTTAATTCAGTAGTGTTCATACTTATTCCAGGATTGATTGATTCATATTGATTGGAAATGTCATTTGGACATGCCTTTCTCTCTTCTATTTTTTTGTTTCATCGAATAAACAATAAAATGGAGTTTTTCAGGTGATCGTGGGATTTCTCACGCGGAGCTGAATTGGCCTACTCGTCTGAAAATCATTCAAGGAATTGCTCAAGGAATGGGATACCTACACAATGAATTTGCACAATATGAACTGCCACATGGGAATCTCAAGTCTAGCAATGTTCTTCTTTCTTCGAATTACGAGCCACTTCTCAATGATTATGCGTTTTATCCATTGATCAGTAACACTCAATCTGTGCAACAGCTGTTTGCTTATAAAACCCCAGAAGCCGTACTGTATCAACAAGTTTCTCCAAAGAGCGATGTCTTTTGTCTTGGAATAGTCATTCTTGAAATAGTCACCGGGAAATTTCCTTCTCAGTATCTGAACAATCAAAAGGGTGGTACTGATGTTGTACAATGGATTAGAACAGCAATTTCTGAGAACAAAGTTTCAGAATTGATTGATCCAGAGATAGCAAACGCGTCAAATTCACTTGAACAAATGGAGAAGCTCTTATATATTGGAGCTGACTGCACAGAAGGCGATCAAGAGAAGAGGATCGTGATGAGGGAAGCTATAAAGAGAATAAAAGAGATACAAGTTTGAGCAGTATTCCAAGTCGATAGATTAGGAAAGTTGAGTAGAGAAACCAGTGCTGTCAATATTGTGAATGAATGCCAGTGTGCTAAAAGACGAGGAAGCTAGCCAATAGTGATACTTCTGTTATTGTCATTTCACTACTTTTCACAAGTCGATCCCTGATTTGTGCTACTAACTAAAGTCTCGTTTTGCTAAAACCCCTGCCTCATTGCTCCCATTGCTGATATCAGTATATAGCCAGAGGATCCTTATGGTGGCATTTTTTCTGTGTAGAAATGGCATTGGCCATTCAGAGTACAAAGAAGAGACAGACAGAAAATTTTGCATATTCTTAAGAAATGCATAGAATTTATTTTTCATTTTGAAAAATTGTTGCTTTCGTGCAATTTCACTGTGTCAAGGGTTCAGCCAATTATGTTGAAAAGTACTGGTTCAAGAGTAAAGATTTTGCTCTAATGTTTCAGGGGTTGACTGTTAGGATCAAAAGATTAGTTCTTATATGCAACAAGGAATGTACATACAATGACTTTCTTCATCCATTTTTCAGTAAATTTATTGTCAAACTTAGAATGTACATTTGTGTCTGATTAATAGAAATTTCTTTGAAAGATGTTTGGAACTTTTATATATATTTGTGTAAAGTGGATTGTGGTTTGGCGATTGTTGATCTATGTCGAGTCTTGCACGACCATCAATATCTTTCATAAACTACTTCATTTCAATTTTTGAATTTCACGAAATATACGTACTTCATTTTAGAGAAAAAAAAATGATATATATGGTTCATGCCTTCAAATATTCAATAAACCAGAGATTATTATGAAACCATTCTTCTTTTGACTGGTTCTGCAATAATTTCTCATACTCCTGAACCAAGAGACAAATCAAAAATCATGTTTTCAAAAATCTCAATTACAAGAGTTCTGTCTTATGAAGACTGGGGACAGAATCCTTGGGAAGAAAAGAGACTTCGTCTCTCAAAAACATTTTTTACTTGTCAAGAAACTTTCAATTATTTTGATTACCAGAATGCTTGGTATAAGGTTCTCCTTTTTAGACCTGTTACCCATTCTTGGTTCATTATTTTTAATCAAAATTGTAATACTCATTTCCCGAATTGGTTTCAAAATTGGTTTCAATATCATGGACTTGAAGAACAAATTTTACCCAGTCTAGTTCTTCAAGGATATGAACACTTAAAAAAAGAGGCAAAATCTTTTCTTAAGCCTCAAGAAAATCTTTTGTTTCAATTTGCTTTCAATATGAAAGTTTCTTGGATTTTCTGTTGGGATTTTTTCCATTATGAAAATCTTCAAGATATGTTCTCAACCCACAAAATTACAAGAAGATTCAAGATCAAATGGTGGGCAAAATTCAAAGAAACAAATTGTTGTCCAAACGCAGTTCAATCATGGATTCAAGAACAACGAAATTTAGGTGTACCTAAATTTTCAAAGAAAGAACAAGAAGATCAAGCTGATTTTTTGACTGAAAAACAAAGAATCATTGCAATGTTATCAAAATGTAAAGATCCTAAAGAATTGTTAGAAATTTACGATCAAATTTCCAAAAAATGATCTTAAAAAACAGATGAATCTGATCAAGATGAAAAATCTCAATATTCTCAAGAGACCGACAATGGTGATGACTTAGTTGATCTAGGTGATGACTATGCCGAGTATCTTGCTCAAGAAAAAGAAGCAAAAGCTTTGAAGAAGAAATCGACAAAATGACTACATGGACCCAGTTTTCTTGATGATTTGAGAAATTCAAGGGTCTATCAAGCAAGATAAATTCTTCTCAATCTCTGCCCAATTCAAAATCGGTGGTGCTACATTTGTCAAGATTCCCATCAACTTTGTGTCAGACATCAAATCTTACTTTAATAAAGAAAAAGATTATCTTTATTAAAGGAAGTCAAAAATTGAAAACTTTTGACTAAAGTTGATACTGGTTTTCAAGATGCCTCATTATGATGTCGTCCACTACTCTTTTCAAGATTCTTTCTCTCAAATGAAAGAAATTTCAAGTCCGGACTTCATTATAAAAAAAGTTCAAGATTTCATTTCAAGAGAGAGCGAATTAAGCAAGAAGAAGTTTTACTTTTTTTAATTTGTTCTCTCAAATACTTTCAATTATCATTGTAATATTTTAATCTTCTTCAATATTCAATAAAATATCTATTTTCATAAATTTCTATTCTTCTATTTCTTATGACTCAATTTTTTGTTTGAGTTTATTTTGATCAGGCTTTTTGATAAAGGTTGAGAGGGTATTTGAGGAAGATGAAGCTTCCTTTTGATCCTTTGGGGGATCTTCAAAGAAAGGAATTGAGCATTTCTTCTTTCTTGAAGTCTTAGTTTGAAAGGGATTTTGAGAATCCTCTTCTTCTTCGACTTTCTTAGCCCAACTCATTTTTCTCATTCTTTTGAATAAACTCTTTAGTGAGGAAGTCTGTCAAGAAGTTTGATTTTCCTTGAATATATAAAATTTCGAAGTCAAAACAAGACAAAATTGCCTGCCACCTTGCAAAGATTTGTTTGGAAACAAGATTTTTTACATCTTTTTGTAAAACATCTTTTGAAACTTTGCAATCAGTTTTTAAAATAAATTTTTTATTGATCAAATCATCTTGAAATTTAGAAATACAAAGAACTATTGAAAGAATCTCTTTTTTGATAGTTGAATAGTTGATTTGAGGTTCAGACCAGACTCTACTATGAAATCTGACTAACTGTTCTTTTGACGATCCTAGGGGTAATTGCTTTAACACACCACCGAATCCTAAGTTTGAGGCGTCAGTTTCGACGATAATTGAAGCTGTAGGGTCAAGAATTGAAAGACAGGGAATATTTTTGATCAACTTTTTCACCTTTTGAACTGCATGCGTACACTCGTGACTCCATGGGTCAGGATTATTTTGTAGTCTTTTGAATAATGGGGCACAAATTTGACGAATATCTTTGACAAAATCAGCAACATAATTGACACAACCTAAAAAACGTTGCAAACTTGTTTTTTCTTTAATTTCATCTGAAAATTTGTCAGTGAAATCAAGACTTCTTTGAATTGGTATAATTGAAGAATTTTGAATAAAATGACCAAGAAAACGAATTTTTGTTTGAAATAAAACAATCTTTTTAGCAGAAACTGCTAAACCATTTTTCTTGATAACATGTATAAATGTATGAATATGCTTGAGATGTTGTTCAATAGATTTTGAATAAATGAGAACATCATCGATGTAAACGATAATGAAATCTGAAAATGAATTAAAAATATCATTCATGATTTTTTGAAATTCAGAAGAAGCATTTTTGAGACCAAAGGCATAACATTCCATTCGTATTGACCAAAGGAAACATTGAATGCAGTTTTGTATCTATCTTCTTCTTTAATTTGAACTTGCCAGAATCCTGACTTCATATCAAATTTTGAGAAGATGATAGCTTTTGAAAGACGATTCAGAAGATCTTTCTTCTGAGGAATTGGATATCGAATCCATTGAAGAGCAGTATTGAGTGGTTTGTAATTGATAACAAGACGTGGAACGCCTCGTTCAATTTCAGCAGAATTGTTAACATAAAATACAGAATAACTCCATGGAGATTTACTTGGACGAATTAAATTCTTCTCAAGTAGATCATTAATTTCTTTGATACAAAAATCAAGTAATTCTTTTTTCATTTGAATAGGACGAGGTTTTGTAGGAATATTGGATTCATGAAAATCAGAATTATAAGGAAGAGAAACAATATATTTCTTCCTATCCCAAAAAGCATTTGGAATAGTTGAACAAATTTCTTGTTCAATTTTCTTTTGTAAATTAGAAATTTGATTTTTGATAAGAAAATCTTCTTCTAATCTTTTTTCAGTTTTTTGAAAAGAAATTTCTTCTTTAAGAAATTGAACATGGTTTCTTTTTAAATTGATATTATGAATAATTTTTGAAATTGCAGCTTCCTTTAAAGAATTAACATCTTTGTAAGAAGGAGGGTTTGAAAATTCAAAATGAATTTTCTTTCCAAAAATTTTTGTAGTTAATCCTTTATAATCAGCTTTAAAAGGATAAATTTGAACAATAAAAGGAGTACCAAGAATAACATCTTGATCCAGATCTTTAACAAGATAAAAAACATTTTTAAAACAAATATTTGAATTACAAACATGAGCTTTTGAAATTTTATAATTAATATTGAGTTTTTTGCCACTAGCACCATAAAGGCGTTCAGTAGTTTTTTCAAAATATTTTGTAGGGATAAGTCCTTCCTTAATACAATTTTGATCAGCACCTGAGTCAATCAAAATACGAGTGGTGAATTTGAATTCTTTGTTGACTACAATAGTCATATTGCAGTACCATTTCTGAAGTTGAATTCAATTAATAACATTAATCTTCTCTTCTTCAGTTTGAGGAAATTTTGAAGTGGATGAAAAATCAGATGAAGACGATTCAGAATGATGAGAATGATGTGAAGGAGTTTTTGAAGAAACTTTGGATTTTCCTTTATTTTGAGAATAGTATTCGTTGGTTAAGTCTTTTGCTTTAAGACAAACTACTTCCATACGAATATCTTGAACATGTTTTTCAAGTTTTGAAATTTGAGATTTCATTTCCTTAACTTCACCTTGAAGATCAGGAATTGAAGGTTTAGAACCTTTTGAAAATTCTTTTTGAGCACGACGAAGAATATTTGTAAGATTAATATCATCAAAATTTTCTTTTGATGTAGAGGAAGAAAGTAAAGATGAAAATTTATCTTTGAGTTTAGGATTATCAATCCTATCTATGATATTTTGAATGATTTCTTCTTCTCCTGTTAAGACATTTATAGTTTTACAACCACAAATTTCTTTATCATTTGAAGAAGTACAAGAGTCAGAATTTTGAGTAGATTCATAATCAGAATCTTCTTGATTGAGAAAAATTTGTTCTAATTCAGAGTTAGACTCATTATCAGAACTAGATTGAATGAGGTTGAGGAGTTGAGTTTTAGTATCTTCATCAACTTGAAGAGTACTGATTTTTTCTTTAAGAGGGCATCTATTAGAGTAATGACCAGTTTTATTACATTTCCAACATGTAACTTTTGGATTTTTCTTTTGAAAATCTTTAACAAATTTTCTTTTTGAAAATTTCTTTTTATGAAAATTTTCTTCAGGAGAATTTTTTCCTTTTGAAAATCTTTTCTTATGAAAAATTTTTCTTGATTTTGAAGAAGGAGGTAAGATTTTCTCAAATCCATATTGTTCGCAAAATGATCCTAACTCATTTTGAGTTTGAGCCTTTTCTGCTTTCAATTTAGATTTAAGTTTTAAATCATTACATAAATTGAGAGCTTCCTTATTGATGAAATTGATAATTTCACCATAAGTAAGATTTTGAAGGTCATTATTTTCTTCTAAAATTGAATTTTTTACTTTTTCAGCAAAAAGTTTTGGAAGTCCTGAAATAAATTTTTCTTTCCAAAAAGATTGTTGACAATCTTCTCTTTGCATGATACGTGTTAAAAACATATCTTTATACCATCGA